CCAGTTTTATTAAGAAAGGACTTGTGTCGTTAAAGTTTCGTCGGAACAAAGTTACGTAAAATCAACTAACGACTGGAGGCGTAACAATATGAACAAAAATGATCATAATTTTTCTTAACAGAACTTCACAGTTAACTTAACTTAACAGAACTTAACTTAACAGAGCTAAAATATGAACGCGACATTTTAATACTAGAAATAAAGGACCTTACAACACCTAATTTGTTATTTTTCTTTAATTGGACACTCAACGTTTCGCTTTAAAGCTTCTTCACTAAAACACAAATCGTAAATGACAGTACAAAGCTTCAAATAAATAAATAAATGAAATCAAACAATCTCACAATTAACAAATACTCAGGCACATCTCTATGTCTTTGATCGTTTTTCCCCAGACATTCTCAGTCTTATGAAAATATTTCTCATAACATATTCCACATTTTCATATTTATTCACTTTTTTTTTTCTGTTCAGCCATGAATATATACAATCTTCGATCCACTTGGATTGATATGCTGATGCATAAATAACCAGGATCAATTCTAAAATTTAAATACATTTTTTGGTTGTTGAATGTTGATTTAAATACTAAAACTTTCTACCCCCTCCCCAGTAACACATCGGTACGTCTGCAGACTTTTACTACTATAAACCGGAGTTCGATACCTGTGGTAGGCAGAGCACAGATAGGTTGTGTAGCTTTGTGATTAATAACAAACAACTAAAACTAATACTTTCTTTAGCGATAAAATTTGTGCATTTGAGAATGATCGCACTAGTTATCGAAACGTCGTATCTATTATAAAAAATATTTTTCCTTACTGTAAAACTAAAAGTTTTAACTTACAATGAAATTAAAATTAAACAGAGACAAAACATAACGTAACAAACTTGAAGCAGAAACGAGAATGACAATTAAGTTTGCTGGTTACATGTGTACTTTTGAACTTGTATACAAAAACATAAGAAACTTAAGCCTATTTATGCTGGTTACATGTGTACTTTTGAACTTGCATACAAAAACATAAGAAACTTAAGCCTATTTATGCTGGTTACATGTGTACTTTTGAACTTGCATACAAAAACATAAGAAAATTAAGCCTATTTATGCTGGTTACATGTGTACTTTTGAACTTGCATACAAAAACATAAGAAACTTAAGCCTATTTATGCTCCCAATTATCCTACTCTAACCCAAGACTTATTTAAGACTAAATTCAAAACCCTTGCAGTTTCATCTTTTCACAATCATATTTTTTTCTCATCTCTCCTTAAAAAGGAAGAATTTTCAGCTCTAAAAAAGAGCTTACACACAATCCAAACATAACTGTAACACGCGCGGACAAAGGAAATGGAATTGTGTTATTAGACAAATCAGATTACTTTCAAAAAAAGTGAATACTATTTCGAGCGACACTACAAAGTTCAAAACACTTACGTCAGATATGCTCTCCATAACCATTCAAAGAGAAAAAAAAAGATACAACGCTTCCTTAGGAACTTAAAAACAAAAAACATATTACTGACAATGAGTTCAACCAATTCTATCTTTGTGGATCGCGACCTGGTACAATGTATGGCCTCCCCAACGTTCATAAACGTAATAATTCATTACGCCCTATACTTTCTGCAATCAGAACACGCAGTTATAAAACAACCAAATCCCTTGTACCAATTCTTAAACCACTAACATTTAACGAATTTACTGCCCTGAACTCTTTTTCATTTGCTAAAGAGTTAAAGGATCTATTCCCTCCCAATGAATGTTTTATGGCTAGTTTTGATTCCCTTGGACATTTGTTTGGAAAAACTCCTTCAAGAGGAATCTCTTGTTCATGGTTTAAATAAGGAACAACTTAGATCTTTAATTATTCACCCTGTAAACAACAACCATTTTGTGTTTAATGAAAAACTATATGACGTGTCACAATTTTGATAACCATACCGTTTATTATAAATAACTGACAACCTTACACTATTCCAAAGCATTGGAAACCTCAAAAACACGCCCCGACGCAACGCACTAGTCTGAAAAATCATATAAACTTTTTTTCCAAATTTGGCCCAACACTACTTTCCAATAAAAATAAAATAACTAGCTGTAAACTCAATTACACAAACATTTCACTGTCACAGAAAGCATGTGTGTCACGCATTTAAAGAAATATTCTATTTAAAGGAAAATCAGATAAATTTACGCATTACAATTCAGGATCTGAGTTGCCTGATTTAATCAAAAATAAATATAGGCCATATTAGTGTTTGGTTACGTTCAATAGATGGCAGCACTTTTAAAGATACGAAAGGTTTGTTTGTAGGATAACTTTCGAATAAAATTTCTCAGTAAAATTTCAAAGATCCCTACTATAGAAAATAACAGAATCTTCCTGAGCCATTTATTTATTCTTTTTTTTTACTTGATTTCATTCATATTTACAAAATTCTTACTGTTATTATACTTTTAACTTCACAAAAACTCTCTTATAGAGAAGTATTTCTAAACAATATATAAATATGATGATGCAACATAGGTTTTATTGCTTTCATTCTGTATAACATAAACTTCCTACAAACAAACAAAACTCTGCCTTCCCTCTAGTCTTACACTGCTAAATTAGGGACGGCTAGTGCAGATAGCCCTCGTGTAGCTTTGTGCGAAATGAAAAACAAACCTAACCATAAACATACTGCTTTCTTTGTTTGTAATTAAACACAAAGCTACACAATGGGCTATCTGTGCTCTGCCCACCACGAGTATCGAAACCCGGATTCTAGCGTTGTAAGACCGCAGACATGCCGCTGTGCCACTGGGGGGCACTGCTATCCTACCGGAATTGATTGTTATTTAACTTAGATAAAAATTTGTCCTAGGTCTGCAAAATCTCTCACAATTTTTTGTTCATAGTGTTGAAAACGATCTTTTTTTACATAGAAAAAAAATACTCTGTTCAGGAAATATTTTAAATTACGCAGCAGAAAATGTTTTTAAAGATTTATTATATTTTTAATTTGTTCATTATCAGTAGGTTTTGACATGATAAGACCGGAAATTAACCATATTATTTTCTTGCTCGCTTCACATTTATCTTTAAAACTTTTGTCAACATTTTATGTGCTACGAATTCCTATTTGAAGATAAAAAGTGTGCTATATAGAGGAAAATTAACTTCTTTGTGCTAAATGAAGTTATAATAAAAGATATTCTCTGAAAACACTTTAATTGAAGAATTGGATCTGAAATA